TGTGTGTGTGTGTGTGTGTGTGTGTGTGTGTGTGTGTGTGTGTGTGTGTGTGTGTGTAAGAGAGAGACATTCTGGAAAGTACAGAAATCAACCAGGTTGTTTTAGCGTTTGAAAAGCCTTTTAATGATCGGTCACGAGACACTGATTAGCTCCATTACAGCAGAGAGTTGCACCTCAACAAGCCTTTGAACAGGTTAAGACCTCTGATTATTGTGACCTGTGACCTCACAGCCTCCACAATTACAGACAGGATTAGCAAAAAAGGAGAGTAAATGCAAACATGTAAAAAAGGAGAAAGACATCAGGCTATAAAAGAAGCGCACACTGTAAAGTCGATTTGTCAAGTACTATCAGGTATTTGGTGATTTTAAACTAACGTCAGTAATAACCAGATATCGCTCAGTGGCCTGTATCCTTTAAAAAGACATAAAGAGTAGCCAAACATATAGTAAAGACTTGGAATAGAGAAATTAAATATATGCTTTACAGTTTTTGTAAGGTTTAACCCAATTCTAGGACTCTTGATGAGGAAACCTCGGTTATTTTCAGTCCATCGTCTGCCCACCACTTCGGACTTGAATATAAATAGAGTGAGAGGAAATGTTAGGACTTGTGTTTTTGCTATTTCGTGTACATATTTGAAACTGGGCACTGCTACACCTAACATTTTGGTTGCTCTGGTCCCTCATTACAAAACAGCAATGTAGTCGTAAAGCTTTTGGCCATCATCTCAGGACTAATTTAAACCCATTTAGCCCATTACACATCAACATTAAGGGTGTTTTACCAACTGTAACATGCAGCTGAACTTTTCTTATTCAGTCTTCCTAAAAAAGACTTCACACAGTTGGCATCGAAGACTTGGCTCATGAGCAGATTGCAGGCTTGTACAGCCTCCACTTTAATGAAACACAGAGGAAAACATTTAGGAAGAAATGCACTCATGTGCACACTCAGCAGTTCTCACAAAAGTCCTTCAGTTGGTCCATAAGACGTCCAAAGGCACGTAAAGAAGGTCAAATGTGTTTTTGGTTTCATGAGATCGATCTAGAACTGAAAGCAACTCTCGAGCTACTGAGAAACATCAACAGGAACATCTTCGTCCAGACCAAGAGTCCACATCGCTCCGTTACAACTACTCGACAACACTGTAACTATGGGAACATGGGCTCATTTTTACCATTTGCCAAGCCTTTAATATCTGCACGTTTGCGTATTTCACTTTAGCGCCGCAGACAGCGGGAGACTTGGAAAGCCCCCCAGCCCCCTCCTACCCCTCACATTGTGACTGAACCTTTAGGTTTATTAAACGGCTGTCAGTCCAAAGTCCTGACTTCCACAGGGAACTTATGAATCACGTGAAAAGGCTAATATTTCAGACTTGGCTTCCAGCAGGGAGAATGGCAGCAGCGGCGTGACAGAGGACTGATCCATGACTCCAACGTTCACTGTGCTGTGATAGCCAACCAGCCAGTGCAGCTCAAAATTGAAAGCGATACTTAGGGGAGTCCGTTTGTTTGCATTCCATCCAAAGCAACAGAAGCTGACCCTCTCTCTGTGGTAAAGTCTTGCTGAATGATGAGTTCGCAGTTCTGAGGCAACTGGAAACTTGCGACCTGCTCCAGGGGTGTCAGTGTTCAATCTGAAATTGCATGTGAGTCCAAAATTAAGACAAAGGGGGCCACAGAAAAGAGGTAAAAGGGTTCACTGAGTCGCCGACGAGTTCTCTAGGAATACATTGGTTCTGACAGGAATCCAGCTCACGCTGCAGCTTCAAATCCACATTAATGGCTTAAGTGTTTGATCAGTGAGCGGCAGGATAACCACTCCTGCGGAGGTCAGTGGGCAGATAGGACCAGGCCGCTGGATGGTGTTGAAGACAAGCCTTCATTCTTATATTAACAGGATTTAAACATCAGCCTGAGATCTCTTGGCTTCTTTTGAACGTTCCAGAGGGAGATTCAGAAAGACATCACTAACCCTCAAAGCCAAACTTTCTCATGATGGTGGGAGAAATCAGTTCAGGGGCTTGAAAGAAGATTCAATCAGTCCTGATTTAAAGTTTTAAATCCATATATTGTGCACAAAAATTAGAAGCAACAGTCATCTAAGGCGGGTATAAGAAAAGTTGTGTACTACATCAAACTCTAATGCAATAACTATCAATAATACATTAAGAAACAATAAATAAATGGAGCAATAGATAGACTTGCTGTGGCTATTTGGAGGTTTTATCGAAGTCATCCAAAGCTGTGGGGGCTCCTGGGATTAATGGGAGAAGAGTCTTCTCTGCCAGTTTGTCCAATAAGCTGATAGAGCCTGTGGCTGAGGTTCTGCACTTGACAGGTCCCCAGGACGCAACCCACCCGCATCAGTTTGGCATGGTGATGGTTGTGGTGACCCCCTCGTGAGTGGGCATGGCGACGAGCTCTCGGTGCCCGTCGCTCAACCTGCAAAGCCTCGGTGGACCGCGCCCACGCCAAGGCCGGGGAGGCTGTCCTTGCTCCTGATGCCAGTCGCTGTTTCATGAATCCAGGCAGCTGGTTTGGGGATCGGCTCAAGGCTGAAGATGGGACCGTGCTGATGGTCTGGCTTTCGGCAGCGGGAGCGTTATCCTCTTTCTGGCCAATGAGTTTGTTGAGAACATCCAACCTGAGGAGAAAAGAGATGTCGGGTGAAAAGCTGTTCTACAGGAGTGAGAGTGATTCATACTGAAAGTGCACCAGAAACGTGAAACAACTCAAGATAGCATGAGAACATAGAGCAATACTAGCAGCTACACATAACTAAAAGTGTAAGCTAGAAGTTAATGTGTTATATTCTCAGCAGGTAGAATTGTGACGAGTTCACGAGACAGTTTTGCAGCAAGCATGCTAATTTGTGCTAACTAGAACTAGCTAAGCCATCAGGAGTTTCTGTTTGTCCAGATAATTCCAAAAATATCAACTGTGCCAATCACTGCCACGACTGTTAGCACGATCGAGGACAATGCTAATTCTGCGGACATCTAATTACAGGTGCAATTTGGTAAATAAATATTTTATGCTAGCTTCTGAACACCGCACAGAGCATCCTTCAGCATCTATATCCTTCACAGGACAAGTTGAGCTACAAACATGAAAGTTGTAAAGGATCAACCCATCCAACATGTAAAATGTAAAAAATCACACACTTTCTCACAAACTATTGGCAAGATGGACAGCACCTCTTGTGTGATTGGTCCGTCTGTACAAACAGGCTCGTGAGAATACACATGACACTAAATGATGTGTTAAGGTGTGCAGTGTGGCGGACCACTGGCTCAGACATTTTCAGCAAACAGCAGTGGCCGACTCGCCATCTGTTCTTTGTTTGACAAAAACAGTGGCTCCTTCGCTGACCTGTTAGCACCATGTTTGCGTAGCACGGTGTGACTCAAAATCCCGAGAGAAGTAAAAAGAAACAATGACTGCTCGGTCTCATTTCAGACTGTGGAATAGCTATGTTGGTCCACACACGACGCGGTGCTTGTACAAATAAAGGATGTAGGTGCCTTCATATTTCTGTACCCGTTACCTGCTGGACTGCCCCTCTGTGTGACTATCAAAGTGATTTCTCTTTGGTTTTACAGCCTGTTGTGAAATACTGGTGTTTCTCACTGCTTGGTTTTGCTTTGGCACCAGTAAGGTTTGGGATAAGATCGCTGCTTGGTGAAGAATATCTGGCGTCACAGTGTCAGCTACATCTGTTAAAGCCACAATTTTCATTTCCCAAAGTTGCCAGGATAAATATTTTGCTGTGACACTGGGCTTAACATCATGTTGTGCCTGGATGAACTAAAAAAGGTGGAATCTTTGCCAGAGGTTTACATTTAGGATTAGAATGAATCCATCTTTCGTGTTCGCCTTTCGAAGCACAGATGGAAAAATGTTTCACCATTTTAATTACAAAACGTGTCTTCCACATGTGAAACGCTAACTCGTGTTATCTTCTCATGAACACTCCCTGCTGAGTTCTCCAAGACTTCACAGCCTGTGGTTGGTTTGAGACTCCTCCCAGAGACGCTAAGTGCAGCTGCTGGCTCACTGTTGGCAGAGCCGGTCGCCTTTAGAGGACCTGCTATCCAACAGTGGCGATGGCTGAATAAATAGTTGCATAATGGTAGGCCGCAGATGGAGGAAAGCACTATTTCCAGGACAGGCCGCAGTCTGCCACAGTGCCACATCATCAAGTTACACCCACATGGTCTGCACGGTGAAAGCTTAAAGCTTATTTGCATAGCTGCAGCGGTGGCCCCACAACAGATCTCATAAACGCATTTACACAACCCAATGACAGGATGTATAGTTTGTATATTTCCATACGGATACTTACTGTAACCCACAGCATTCTCATTGTTTCAGGCTGGTTTTCACAGCAGTGATAATGGATGTGACTGATGCGAGTCTATAGCAGCTGTAATCTGTGGTGCTGATGACTCTTTCTGTTTGTATCCTGGATCCAGGAGGTCAAAAGTTTAACATAAGAACATCAATCTTTTCTGACTGGGGCTGAAAAATACACTCATGCAGCTGCCATGTGCAACGTTAAGGTGCTGCAGTGATGTAGGCAATAATAACAATCCAACATGCTAACTGCCTCACATCTAAGAAAAGCATCTGGTACCCCATGGCAACCCCCCCTTGCTTTTCCTGGTCAGTAATCCAGCTCTGTTTATTGTGCGCATTAATGAGGTAAAGGGGATTATGGAGCAACGCACCGCAGCGTAGGAAAAGCCTTGTGATCAATGACAGCAGTGCCTCCGATTCCCGAGCAAACCATCGGAGCACCTGGTGCACTTAGTTAATGGTCTTGAAAAATAAATATGTGCCGGGGAACAAGCTCTGCGTCTTGGTTGGGCCAACATCACCTGCAGCTGGAACAATGCCTGACCTCCCTGCAGTCTAACCAGTCATACAGTGAAGGAGACCTTTGTGTTTGGCAGGAAATCAAAGACGTCCGGGCTTCTGGTTTCTGATGTGTTGCAATATCCCAAGTTTATGGCTTTCAGACACATTTGGGTGATGATTTCATAGGACCTAACAGTTAGATTAAAGGTGAAGCCAGTACCTGTAGATCAGCCGTGTTTCCTTTTCTTTTCTATTAATGACGACGAGCTGTATTAGTTGTTTTAGGAAGTCAAATCTGGGCTGAATCTCTGAGCAGATTTGGCCTCCCTGCAAGTCATAGTCTAATCTTAAATTCCAGCCACAGGTCTCATGGAGGGGAAACGAAACCCTGAGCCTTCCTAAGATTGGCCCGCAGTAATCCCAACACTTCAGATTTAAACCCACTACGTTTCAAACGTACACGTTTACAGATGTTTCAAAGGGAATCAGCCATCCGAGGATGAGGAGCGAAAGCTGACAGAAATCTCTGTCTCAATGAAACGAGCTGGGCACTTCCAGCTTTCTAACCCTGGGCTGTAATTTCTATTGTTCAAGCCTTTTTGGCCTCTGAATAAACTCCAGCTGGTGGATTACATGAACTGACAGATGCCAAGTTATAGTTCACAAACCACATAATTCTGATGGATGTAGACAAGACAAAAGGGTGGTTTCTCTTCCCCTCAGAAGCTGCTTTTATTTTCCAAATGCCGTTTGAGGAACTTAAACCACACTGATCCTCTTACATGCATGTCTTCTACTCTTACATGACGTACAGTGCATTCATGTGCAGCGGCTCTCTGTGTGAGCAGAAACCTGCTCTTTAAGGATGCGAACGTTGGAATTTAGGTCTTAGACATTAATCCACAGCGGAATTCCTGCCGGCAGCCTTCTCAACTTCAGCCTGTGCTTGTGCAGATTTACCTTGATGTGCTTGTACTCTACACATACTCCACACCAGCCCTGAGCAAGTTCAGTGTTTACAACAGGCTGCAAATCAAAGTAGACGCATGAGAAGAAGCCTGGGTTGAGGCGCTAAATTTGAAATCATCCCAGAGGAATAAAGGTGGTTTAAAGAGATGCTCAGAATCGAAACATCAAATGTCTGGACCCCAAACCAAGAAACAGCAGAAAGGCTCCGGCCATGCTCTGTGAGGTGTTTTTCTCTGATAGTCATGTTGGTGCTCGGTGAAAACGCGACTATTCGGCCCTGAAATGTTCAGACAAACTTGCAGCCCAACTTATGCACACAGGCTGATCCAGACAAAGCCGGGGCCATCGAACAAAAGCCTGACCGCAAACCAGCTTCAGAGTCTTCAGTCTGCAAGCAATGAGCCGCTTCCCACTTCCAGAATCTGGACCTAAAGCCGCTTCACTCCTAAAGCCATGTTTAACTTGTCTGGCTGCAGACTATTTTCAACTACAAAAAAGATGTTATGTAAAATGATAATGAGGGGTATGTGTTGCCATCTTATGCTTAGCAAACAATTGCTCCTCGTTTGGAAAGCGCCTGCTTGGCATTGTTACATCTCTCTGTGTCCATATCAGGACACAGGGAGACAATATGGACACAAACACAGGACGTGGAAGGAATGACAGACATCTGAGCTCAAGAGTCCAACAGACAAAAACATGTGAAGCGGTGGTGTCTGCTGTTATCATGCTGTCAGCTGGTGACAGGAACCGAACAGGATGCGTTAGGAGGGTCTACAGCACGATCGAGCCCAGACTCTTTCCTTTCACCTGCACGTCTCTGTAAGTGGTCAACAACAGCTCAGACCTCCTCCACAGTACCTGCAGTGCTCAGCTGCAGACACTCGGGAGTCTGTTTATCTGAGATAGTCTAAAAGACAGAAGTCATGAGGAAATGTGACTGTTCTTGTTTTGTTATCAGCTTTTTTAAAGCAATAAAACAAGGTTTAATTAACTACACGGAGCTGGAACTGCAGCCTTGAACATTTGTAATGGAGCAGAGGACTGATGGGGGAGCCGGCCAGGTGCAAACAGAGCTGCCCCCCCCTCTCTGGGTTTCAGCAGCAGCCGTTTGTCCAGATAACAGAGACGGCCACAGGAGCGCTTTCCCACCTGGAGGAAAGTTCCACCCTCGGATCCTCTTACACTGGGTTAGATTCAAGTGCGTTTTCACATCATGGGAAACAGCAGCTTCTTCCACGGCGCTCGCTTTAAAACTGCAGAATCAGCGCTGGCACAGAGTTACGGCTCCACACCCAACCAGAAGAGGTCGCCCTTCACTGTACCTCATCCTCAACTAAGCAACCCGGCACACTTACTGCCACTGTGACGAGCTCCCTGCCTCTGACCGGGTGGACGTCTGTTTGCTGCCTCGTGTCTAATGAGATCCTGCTCTGACACCAAAAGAGTGGAAAAGTACAGGTGCCATTCATCCCCTCACAATATCCTTTACAATGACCCGTGATGGTGTCTACGACTGGGCTATTCAGAATGACAAACTGGTTTTCCCACCTTTGGAAATGACATTTTCCCTGCTTGATGTCAGGGAGACCAAAGCAAACAAAAGCCCATATGTCAGTGGTTCATCATGTGACACCGAGACGTAAGGCAAGAAGAGCTGCGACGTTTGGGGCTTTAGAAACATCTGAATTGTTTATAGAAAACAAGCTGAGGCGCAGTTAACTCACTTTAGTCATGTTTCAGTGGCAGGGTTAAATGTAGGTCAAAGGTCACCTACAGCTCAGGTGTGATTTCTCATCATCTCCTTCATAACTGCAAAGATCATTTCGCCTTCTAAAAACACTGAACTCACGCAGCTCTGTGGATTTCTGTGGGCTTTGACCGAGATACACTCCGTGTGGATGCAAAGATAAAGCCACAGCCTTTGACCTTCAAGTGTCCACTATCTACTGTCAGGCTGACACGCGTTTACACACACCAACCCTCGTGATTCAAGTTTCGCAGTGTGCGTCAGACTCACAGAAGAGTAAATATCAGCGTGTCTTTATTGTGAACTTTAGAGCACGCTATTTATCTCTGTTAGAAAAACGTTCCCAGCGAGAATATGACGCCAATAAAAACAGTGAGAAGTGTTTGAACTAAACGACGACGGGAAAGTGACGACGTTACAGTCCATTGAAACGCGTTGACGACGCTGATGTTGTGCTTTCTGCCCGATGCAGTGCAGCTATGAACAGCAAGATTTCAGCGGCTCCAGCTGCCTTCTTCGCTCCTCTCAGGCAGCAGAGTTGCTCTGTAGGCACTAAAGTAGCACTAATACAGCAGCAGCGCAGCGGTGTGTCCTACCTGTTCGTGCCCGGTCTCTCCTCAGCCGGCAAAGCCTGCTGGAGGGAAAGCAGGCTGATGCAATACACAGTCAGCGGGAAAAAGAACCGCATCTCCGGGCCGACTCCAACTTTATACCCTCTTTCTGGGTAGGAGGGGGCGAAGTGACGGACTGGGTGAAGGTTAAATCCCAGTGGGAGGAAAAATAAATAAATAAATAAAAAGTGTGATAATGTGTCCAAGATGGGCGGATTGGAGACTGCAGCTGGAACCTTGAGGGGGAAAGTAAATAATGGGTCAATCTGCTGCTAATAAAACCAACATATATTTTAAAAAGCACGACAGTGTGAACGTCTACTCATAGCACCAGTCAAACTGATGCACCAAGAACTTTACATTATGCTGAAAAACGGCAAAATCCATAAAGTCACCGTGAAGTCCTGCCTGCTGTTTTATATTTGTTTTTATTTTACTTAATATAAGCAAAGACTAGTCTCACCTTTTAGGCAATTAGAGCTCAGAGGGAGGATTTAGTTCCCACGAATCCAAACGTGTTGGTCAAGATCAAGTTCTCCGGTTCTCTGAGCTCCGGGTGAGATTGTGGGTTTAAATACTGAGAAGGCGGAGTTCACTGCCTCTATTCCTGGTGGGCAATTTTCAGAAAGGTACTGGGAGGGTATAATATGCTAAACCCGGGAAATCCAGCGTTGATATGGTGCACAAAGCCATCCCACTGCTAATCCTTTATCAACGAAAATCACAAGAAGCGCTCGCTTGTATTTGAGCCCCAGTTCTCATGTCCTTGTATAAAAGATGCTGCTGGATGTGACGAAGAACAGAGCCCTTACAGCTTTAAAGGTCCTAGAAGCTGAACACCAGACACCTTTATGGTAAACATCTGCTATCAAAGCTAAAAGTGTCACCGTGAACTTAACGCACAGCTGTGAGCTAACAAGTAACCAGCACTAACACCATCACCCAGAACTCCATCTATCATAATCCACCACGTGCACGCGCAGGAAAATGCGTTTGCATGAATTTCTCAAGCAGTCAAACCCTCCTCTTCACCTTATCACCGCCCCAGCCCGCGTGTGTGAAGCAGATAGAAGGAGATGCGGGAATCTTCAGACTCTCCGCTTCGCTGGTGAGGCAGGCTATCGAAGCGGCACTAAACGTTTTCCACACGTGAATATTTCCTTCACACACTTTATTGCTGCTGGTGTCTGTTCCTGGTAGGAAGCACGCGTGGTTTTATTTGGGTTATTCGGCAGATGCTGTAATTTTCGGTTGTATTTTGTAATCTCTTCCAGTTCTATGTCACAAGTCTGAACATGCATCCTACAACTCTGCAGAATGACTCAGATGAATCCTGTGGAGATTATTCCACCTCATGAGGCAGGACTGCTGTGCGTGTCCAAGTCCCCTCCTACTATTCTTTGTCGGCCTGATGCTAATTCATACACCTGATGCTGCCTCAGAGGCAGTTGCGCAACTTTCGTTTCCAACAAGGCGCGATGAGAGCATCCACGTAGAGACAGAGACAGGGCAGAAAAAGCAGAGACTCCGCGAGGAATTCGGAGATGTAATGTTTGTTGTTTCGCCCTTTTGCTGATGTCAGAATCCTCTCAGGCTCATAACCTCTGCATCTAAATAAACACGGAGACAGAAGAACACAATAAGCACTTGGACAGAAAGAGTGCGCATAGCTGCTTTTTGCAAATGCTTCCAGCTCAGCGTGTAGAATCTTCTCTCTGGATGCAAAATGTTTCACTCTGAAGACACAAGCTGGACATCATGACATGTTTGTGGAAAACATGAAATACTGCGAAACAAATCCTGAAAAATGTGTGCTAAAGACTCCTGCCCGAATCATCCCTGTACTTGTGGTTAGCACGCCGTCGTTGCTTTTGTTTCTACTGTCTGTTCTTATTTTTAATGCTTTTTCAGTCATGAGAATAAAGTTGGTTTTCATTTCTTGGGGTTTTAAAAAGAGAAGCTTTAAATATGTCATGTCCAGTTTCATAGTAAGTAGATAAATCTTGAAAAGACTCTCGAAATGTCAAGAGAACAACAGCACGTTGTGCCACAAGGCTTTCAGTGTCAAAGATCACACAGGAAAATCAGATGACTCCAGCTGACTCTATGACTCTCCTGCTCTGTAATCATAAGCCACGAGTTTCCATCTATTTTCTAACCGCTTACTTTATCCAGTTATGTGTCACCGAGGGGCTGCGGCCTATCCAAGCTACACCCTGGACAGGTCCATCAGGGGGCTGACACACAGAGGAGGCCAAGCACACAGGCACACACATCTACTGCCAACGCGTTAAACTAACAAACAGGGATGTGCACTTAGGGAGAAGACGGGAACCTGATCAAACATATGCAGGAACAAGGAGCACACAGCTCAGCTGCCCAGATTAGAGGATTAAAGGAGCCAGTGTCTCCCATACTGACCTCTCCTCATTGCCTCTCTGCTCAAGTCAGTTCAATTTTAATTATATAGAACCCAACATTCACCTCAGGGCGCTTTATATTGTAAAGTAGACCCTAAAATAACACATACAGAGAAAACTCGACAATCATATGACCCCCTGTGAGCAAGCAGTTTGGCAACAGTAGGAAGGAAAAACTCCCCCAAGGTCTTAAATAATCAGGCCCATCTGATCTGAATGACCTTGTAGTACCATATCACCCTATTAGAGCACTTCGCTCTCGCTCTGCAGGCCTACTTGTTGTTCCTAGAGTATTTAAAAGTAGAATGGGAGGCAGAGCCTTCAGTTTTCAGGCCCCTCTTCTGTGGAACCAGCTTCCAGTTTGGATTCAGGAGACAGACACTATCTCTACTTTCAAGATCAGGCTTCAAACTTTCCTTTTTGCTAAAGCATATAGTTAGGGCTGGACCAGGTGACCCTGAATCCTCCCTTAGTTACATCACAGTTTGCCTAGACTGCTGGGGAGTGCTTCTTCTTCATCCAGTTTTCTCACTCTCTGTGTTTATTCATCAGGTATTATTATTCCCTGGCTCTCTTCCACAGCCTGTTTTGTCCTGCCCCCGTAATGAATTGGTCGTGTTTCTGCAGTACATCCCACAGATGCTCAGTTTCATTAACATTTAGGGACTTGTGAGGCCAAGTGAAGACACTGAAATCTTTGTCTCGATTGTGAAACCATTTCTGATTTCCTTGCGGTGAGGTAGAGCATATCCTCACGTTGGAAGAGGCTACTGCCATAAAGGTGTTTAGGAAGATGGTACATTTCAAAGTGTGATCGCAGCAGAACATTGTCCAGAGCCCCACGCTGCCTGCATACGTTTGTGAATGTCACATATCGCCCTGATAGAAAGATGTGATTGACTGGAGTCCATCAGCTTCTTTACTGGTCCAGCTGTGTGTGCTTCTTGAGGTTTTCCAGTAATCTGGGCTACAGTAACTCTTTTGTTGGATCGGAGCACATGGAGCATCTTTTGGTCCTCTTGTGCCTCACTGAGCCCGGGGCAGCTGTGGCACGGGGCATGTAAGAAGCTGATCACATCCTTTACTCACTTCCAGTACACCACCTTCAAGAACTGAGTGTTCAACTGACACTTAACATATTCCACCCTTAACAAAAGCTGCTGTAAGGAGACCGTCAGCAATAAAGGCTGTTTGAGAGGAGTACTGGTTGGCACCACTGGTCTCAACAGGCAAACTCAAAAGGAGAACATTGGAGACATGGTTGGAAGCATGACTTGGATGTTTCTGCTGGGTTTGGGCTATAATGTGCTGTGTGATCCCCGCCTGAAGTGCACTGTGAGGCTTATGTAGAGTGATATTCACTAAGACAGGTTCATTAGAGGTAGCTGCCAGCTTTGCACCCTCAGCAGTATCCCCTTACAGCTCAGCCCTGCTGTGATCGTGTTATAACACCATCAGAGCCGAAGCCTTGGAAAGAGCTACAGCTGACTCCTTCATCCATCTGTGAGATGATGTGTCTGCTCAGGTTATGGTTTAAACATTTCACTGTACCATCTTGCAGTCAGGTGAGGGACGTTCTGACCTTTCACCTCCTGTAATCAGAGCTGAGGTTAAGTCATCCCTATTAAATAGTGCATGTTGAATCTGCTCTAACCTTCACCCACAGTCTGCACCAACAGCAGCTGCTTTGTGATGACACAGTGGTCCCTGAAATTCCCCCACGTAGGCAGATAGCAGTAACTCATTTATCAGTCAGACTGGCTGAGAAAACAAGCCACTGTTTACTGGCTCTGACACGCTTATGTAAGAGTTTTCTGGTGTGTGACAGCAGCCTGCGAATCGGCCCCGCTGGACTCTGAACACAGGCTTCCCGCTTGGTTTGATCTCCCGGGCAGGAGCTCTCTTCACTTTTGTTTTAAGCTGCAATTAGCAAATATGAGAAGATGCACTGTGTCGCTGGCCAGAATGGCACAGGGCAGCTTTAAAGGAGCTGCTGTCTTTGAAACTCATCCAAACATGTGCTCAACTGATCAAAGATCTCGATGTCCGCTGATAATATGAAGCTTTGAACAGTTGCATAAACAGTAAAACTAATAAGTGTCACTACACTGGGCTCAAACAGTGGTCCTTAAAAAGCAACATTTCAAATGCACTGGAGCTCCAGAGCTGTAAGCATCGAGCCGTAGCTTTGTCTTTCCACGGAGATGATCACATGAGCTGTGGGATTGAGACAGCTAACCAAAGTGCTGATAAATGGACGTGGTTACCATATCTGAGCAGCCTCGTCACAGCCACAGAGGATTTTATGGATCCTCGTAGAAGTCGCTTTTCAGCTGTTTCACTTAAGTGTCGTGTTATTAAGGACTTCATTGCATTCATGAGTTCAAGTTAGCACTGCAGAGGTGAATGGGAGTGGCTCAGTGTTCAGGTTTAAAAGGAAACACTGTAGCTTGTCTTTATGCTTTTATTCTTCTTAATAAATCAAGTCGCACTGATTCATGCACAAAAACAAGCCTGACAAAGCACTGGACCCTGCAATGTTCTAACAAACGTTACTGAAATAGGAGGAAGTCGTGAGTGTGTGGCTGTGGATTCATCTACTTTTTTTGCTTGCTAGCATCACTCTAAACTGCAGCGTACGCACACATCACCAAAGAAAACCTGCTTTTGATGACGGTCACCTAACAGCGCTCACTGTGTCAGGCTCTGCTCAAAAACAGGACAAATCCAGTCGTGCTGGATCTCTGTACTGACATGGACGTAGAATGAGTCCACATCATTCCCAGCTCTGCCCATCATGGAGCACACAGACAGTCTGAGGTGCAACACGGAGACATCAGATGACCTTTATGTTTCAGTATTAATTCCTTCATCCTCCAGGAGCTGCCTGCATGCTCTCACCATGAAGCCAGGAGGAACCTCTGCACGAGTGTCCTCTACCTGCAGGAGCATGGCTGTTTCAGGGGTTGCCTCATTGTTCCCCCTGTTCTTTATTTCATTAACTGATACCTAACTGATCACATCAACATCCCACAAGTTTAACTGACCGTTGCTACAAACGTGTTCCTTGAATTCCTTTGAACAGTTCACTTCACACTGATCAGTCACAGCTTTTACTCAACGACTCTGGTTGGGTGATTTTGGTGTGAATGTCTTTTGCCTCTTTTGTGTGTAAGCACCACTTGTGACTTAAATGTGGAGAAGCATAAACCCAAAGAGACACACGCAGTTCTGTAAGCGTGTTTGTTTAAATGCTGAGCGCACCTTTCGGATGCACTGGTCCATAAACAGACCCTCGATGCTGCAGTGTCCCGGCTCTGGAGTGCGACGGCCTGTGATGCAAAACAAATTCATCACCTGAGCAGAAGGAGGCGGTGTGACGTGGAAGTCACTGAGCTGAAGGCCTGGGTACACAAACACACACCACCTGCAGCTCACTGTGCGGCCTCTCTGAGCAAACGTGCGTGTTTCTGCTTCCTCGCGGCGCGTGATACAAATACA